GCAAAGAACTTCTTCTTAATCGCCCGACCCTCCTCGACATCCAACAAGGGGTATTGGAGATACTTCGTGCTAACAATCTAACCCTCAATTTAACCAAATGTAGGTTCTTCCAACGGAAGATTGAGTATCTAGGCCGGGAGATTTCTGCTGAAGGGGTCAGGCCAGGTGTGCACAAGGTCAATGCGGTTCTAAAAACGGCGGATCCCCAGAATGTCCGACAGGTGAGACAGTTTTTAGGGTTGGCTGGATACTTCAGGAAATTTGTTCGCAACTTTGCTCAGAGGACGGCCCCCCTGACAAACCTATTAAGAAAGGATGCCCCTTGGACCTGGGGTGAGGCCGAGTCTCGCGCGGTAAGGGAGATCAAGGAGATACTAACTGACAGGCCCGTATTAGTCCTATACGATCCGTTGCGAGAAACCGAAGTTCATACTGACGCTAGTTCTAGGGGATTGGGAGCGATGTTAATTCAGAAGGATGGTAGTGAGAGGCGAGTCATCGCGTATTATAGTCGGAAAACATCAGTAGAGGAACAGAAATATCACTCCTATGATCTCGAGACACTGGCGGTAGTAGCGGCGGTAAAGGCGTTCAGGGTATACTTGTTAGGTATCAAGTTCGTAGTGGTGACAGATTGCAGCGCGATCAGAGCCACGGCAAGTAAGAAGGATATTCAACCGCGGGTTGCTCGTTGGTGGGTATATTTGCAAGACTACGACTTTGAGATAGTCTACCGGCCAGGTGCTCAGGAAGCTCACGTAGACTACCTGAGCCGAAATCTGATGGAGTGCTGTTCGGTAGACATCACTGAAAGCGAGTGGATAAGAGCAGCTCAGACGCAGGATTCCGACATCGAAATTATACGAAAGATATTAGAGTCAGGGGAAGTTAGACCGGACACAAGGCAGTACTTCGAAAAATATGTACTGAAGGGTGGCGTAGTGTTTTGTAAAACAGTCAAGGGGAATAGATGGGTGGTACCACGGATGTCCCGATTCAATGTAGTGAAGTGGTGTCACGATGACCAAGGGCACTTCGCATTGGATAAAACTCTAGAGAAGCTCGGGGAAAATTACTGGTTTAAGGGGATAAGGAAGTTTGTTGCAAAGTACGTCAAAGCCTGTCTAAACTGCCTCTATTACAAGTCTTCGAGTGGGCGAAAGCCTGGATTTTTGCACCCTATTGAGAAGGTAGCCGTCCCATTCCATACCATTCACCTTGATCATATTGGCCCATTTATACGCAGTAGGCGTAAACGCACTCATGTCCTGACGATCATCGATGGGTTTACCAAATTTTGTATCCTGGAACCTGTGAGAAACACATCGGCCAAGGGCGTACTCAAAGCTCTGCATCAACTGTTTGCGGTGTTTGGCGTACCATCACGCTTGATAAATGACAGGGGAAGCGCCTTTACTTCTCACATGTTTAAAACCTTTTGTGTAGAACATGGAATCAAACACATATTAAATGCAGTGGCAACGCCTAGGGCCAACGGGCAGTGCGAGCGGCTGAATCACGTCATCCTAAATTCGCTGGCCGCAACGTGCGCTGGACAACCGGAGGACCGGTGGGACGAGAGTCTGAAGAAAGTTCAAAGTGCAATAAACTGTACGACCAACAGAACCACGAGAATGAGTCCCGCCCAACTATTATTGGGATACAAACCTTCCAGCCCGGCGGACGCCAAGTTGTTAGGGATCCAGAGTAGCTTGGATGAGGTAGACCTAAGGGAGCTTAGGAGACAGGCCAAGGCTGCGATAGACACTGAACAAGCAGAGCAGAAGAAGGGTTTTGACGCTCGCCGGTACAAGGCTCCGCAATACGCTGTGGGAGATGTTGTCATGGTGACGTCGACCCCTCCATCAACAGGCGAAAGCAGGAAATTGGCTGCCAAGGCAGGGGGATCTTACAAGGTGATAGCGGTATTACCGAATGATCGCTACGAGGTGCAGGATCTAAGGGATCTAAAGAAGGCGCCAAATCAGAGGAGTGTAGTCGCTGTTGATAGCCTGAGGAATGGGTCACGTTTGATGCTACGCAGCGAGACTGGTGAGTGAAGTACTAGCTGGAATTCGACTAGGATCCCAGGCGTGGTCAAGTCGGCAGGTTTTCGCGTGCGAGAGTGGTCACCTCGTGCGATGTAACCTGCTGGCAGAGACCAGGACCCCAGATGTGGTCAAGTCGGTAGGTTTTCGCGTGCGAGGGTGGTCGCCTCGCGCGATGTGACCTGCTGGCGGAGACCAGGACCTCAGTAGGTCGAATCGACAAGTTCTCGCGTACGAGGGTGGTCGCCTCTTACGATGTGATCTGTTGGCGGAGGCCAGGACTTGCGGTTGTAATACCGGGTGACATAGGTTGCCGAATTGCTAAGGAATAGTTCACCTGCCCCAACGCTTGTAATACGGGGTATTATGGGAGTATGGTAGCGGCAAATCGCTGGGAACTGTCCCGAGATCAGGAACTAAATGGAATTATCGGCCTTACTAGTGAATGAACCGATAAGTCCACTGATAATATCTTGTTGTTGTAGACGGCGCCGGGGACGACTAGCCAGTCAGTATGGCCGAGTGTGGGAGATATTAAGATGCCGGTTCCAGTGTCTTGACATCGAGGAGTGCCGACAGATGGCGCGACAGATCGGTAGTTGGTTACCATCAGAGCGGCAGCACTGTGATCGGCGTTGGACGGCGAAGGACGAACCCCCTCCCCAAAAAAGGGAGAGAGCGATCGCGTGATCACTACGAACCTGAGCGGCGAGCCCTTTTTTGTGTTGTGCCATATAGTGCGATTTCTTGCGAGGTTCCATAGAGACCAGTGGTCAAATCTCTGGTCGAAATAAATACATTACATTATCTTACTACACTACATTATTTTACTCATTATTTTACTACAATAGTAAAGGGAAAGAGGTATTTGAATAGAAATGGATGGAGATTAGAAGCTGTAGAAGGCCTACTGGATGCTAATGTAGATTTAGAAATGATGGAAAGAGAAAGGGATGTGTAAAAACAGATTGAGGATAGCCATATAAGAGAAGCAAGATACAATATAAGATATAAGGAATTAAGTAGAGAAGACAAATATCCCTGTTATTTACGAAAAAAGAGTCAGGATGAAGGTAAGGAAGGAGACCGAATAAAAGAGCATTAGTAAGAGTAAGATGCGGGAATATGGAAGAACGTAACAAATATTGGCTTGATGAAGATAAAAAAAAGGTGTATCTTCTGCGAGATAGGACAAAATGACATTAAACATTACGTGGAGGATTGCGAGATAGTTAAGGAATGGTTTATTAAGTTAGGCAAAGATAAGAAGAAAAGAATCGAAAGTATATATGACGATAATTTAGGGAAAGAAAAAGATAGGATACTGGTAAGGCTATGGAAAGAAAAAGAAAAAAGACTCAGAGAGAAAAAGAAGACAGACAAAACAAAATAAAATAAAGTAAATTCTAGTCAGAGTGCGTAGAAGATAATGGGGAAGTGTGGCAAGCTAGATAGAGTTATATGAAGAAACAAGGCAGGAGTGATTGTATATACAAACAAACAATAAGGTGAGGAGTTATACCATGTGGATATTTAGGATAGGAAACTAGGACAAAACAAATAACAAATAGGATAAGTCAAGCTAAGTAAAGTTAAAGTTAAAATATGAGTTAAGATAAAATAAGATATTTTAAGAAAGATAGAGTAATATAATGAAGATTTAGTGCTCAATAAGGAGATTTGTAATATAATATGGGATATGTAGGGTGTGTGTATGTATGTGTATGTATATGCGTATGTATGTATGCAGATATATATGTATATTATGTTATATTTGGTTATATTTGATTGGGATTTTTGTATGTGGTTTGAATGGTTGTAAGTATGAATACAAAGATAGGAGGAGTATGGACAATATGCATGAATTTAAAGGTTTGACAAGGGTGTGTAAGAAAGATATGATAAGAGAGAGGGTAGATTAGTTTATAAATTATAAATTATAAAGTATCAGTTAAGAATCTAATAGTGTATGCATAAGAGGAAAGGAGGTGACTGAAAGATAGATGTAACCAAGTTCCCTTCTTGGCCTAGTGGGCTGAAGTATCAATAAAATAATAATAATAATGTAAACACAAAAATTATATATTGAAAAATAAATCTTATTGAAACTAAGAATGAAGAGGCCACTAAGAGCCATCTAAATAGGCCAATACGAGCCATTCCCAGGATGTTGTGCAGGAATAAGCGTGCATGTGTATATATATATACACATGTATGAAA